GCCACGGATCCAGCACTGTTGCCTGCAATGGTTATCTTGCTAGAATCTCCGCCAAATCGGTCTATATTTTCGTTGATCCACTTCAAAGCCAACAGAATGTCCTTGAGGCCGTTATTCCCCCTTGCCTCTTTATCCTCAAGCGATAAAAATCCTAATGCACCCAGTCTGTAACAGTTAACATTTCAATCAGCATTTGACCTCCCCGTTTAGGGACCAACATATAAGTACTAGTCTAAGAATAACCAGTATATAAGTAGCTTCTTTATAGGGATCCTGCTGATACTGCCGAATATGTACCTACTTACGAAATAATCAAATAACACTACTTTAATAATTTACCTGTAATTAAGCGTCACAAAAACGATATCGTGTCTTATCATAAACGGTGGTCCGTACAAATCGTTGCCGTTTCCTGACCGTGTTTTGAATTCTCCGCCATGTATCCAAACAAGAACTGGTAGGGGTTCATTGCGTCTATTGCCTCTATTCCTCCCCAACAGTCGACCCAAAAATCGACGGACGAATGAGTGCCTCCTTCGATGACCCTTATTGACACTATTGGCAGGAACGAAAACATTGAGGAAAAGGCAGTCCTCGTCCATTTCTTCTTTCTTATAAGCGCCTTCCGATTGTGGGCAAACACGTCCTGGGAATGACGCCTGTAACGGTTCTTTCCATGGTTTTTTGGGAACCGGTGGCTGCAACAATGTATGATAGGCATTTCGGGTTTTATTTCCACTATACCTAGAGATCTTTGTTTACCCCGCATGAGGTATAGGCGTGATGTTTGTATGAATAGAGATCTTTTAAGGTTCTCGTATATTATCTAGTTAGTCTTAAATAGATTGTATCAGTTGTAGGTACGTCTAGGATAAGTAAAGTACTTTTTAAGGTGCCGTACCTAAAGCGTCAAAGTCGAAATGGGACTCTATTACTTGACTTTTGTCTGTCTGTCTGTCCGTCTGTCACCAGGCCGTATCTCATAAACCGTAATACAAAGAACACAAAATGTAGAGTAACTTGTAGGTATTAAAAAACAAAAACCCGACTGCTGTAATTTCAAAGCTATATTTTGCGTTTAGAATCCGCCATTTTGGCGCTGATGAGACGAATTTAACGACATCTCATATGTCCCGATTCACCCAGCCATCTGGGCTGTAGCCCATGAAAAATAAATTCTCGCCCACATTCGTAGGTACATACCCACGGTTTCGGAAAACATAACCCTCCTTCTAAGGAAGTGGGGTAAAAAGTTACACATTCACAACAATAATGTTAGAGATTAAAATGTATGTCGAACTACGACTTGCTTATTTAGAACTACGACTTACCTACTTATTTATTATTATTTTCTTTCATATTGCACTCACCTTAAATCTCATAGGTTTTTCAGCATAAGGTATACCTTGAAACGCATAATATTCCACTCCATAACTGTTTTCGACTGTACCTTTGACTGGTCCTGTAGTTGTATCAATCAGTGTTTTGTCTCTTGACCATCTGCCTCTGTCTGCCAGGACCGCCAGAATATTCAAAAGTACTATTAGGAGTCTAAACTGTAATTAAACAAAATGAAAGTCAAGCAAGCCGAATATTTTTTTTATTATTATAAGTTAGCGTACTTGATCCCACTGCTGGGCAAAAGCCTCCCCGCAATCTTCCACTCCTTTCGGTGTAATGCCACCGTCATCCACTCTTTCAAATATGTTTTCGAGGTCTACTTCTACGTCTGGACCCGTTATGAGGTATCCATTGTTGGATGACGATCTGTGCCCAACGATCCGGGTGCATACGACAAACGTGCCCGGCCCACTCCCATTTAAACTTGGCGGTCTTGCGTTCAATATCCGCGATGCCTGTTTTGGCTCGAAGAATGGTGTTCTACACTCTGTCAGGACGTTTGACACCAAGAACAACGCGCTCCATCGCTCTCTGGCAGACCTTGAGCTTGGACTTTTGACTCTCTGTTAGAGACCAAGTTTGGGCACCGTAGATTAGGACAGGCAGGATACACATGTCATGTTATGCCTAATTATCGAGATAATTATTAATAAAACTAATCCTGACCGCAGTAATATTAAAATTATATTTTACGTTTCAGCGGTCAGGTAAAAACTTATCATCGTCTTGACCTCAAAATAAGAGATTAATACTATTAATACTACATAATAAGAGATTAATACTACATATTATTTATTTTATTATTTTATTTATTTTATTTTTGGTTACTTTGGGAAACTTACAGCTAACATAATTACAATAAATCAAAACAACAGTATAAACTTATAGCCAATTACAAGATTCCACCTGTAGGTAACCAAATAAAAAAATGGTGTTAAAGTGAAAGGAACAGAATAAATACACCAGTTAAAAATATGGAGAAAAAGAAAAATAATGCGATTAGAAAAATTACAAAGAGTAAATCATAGGAAAAAGTCATTTGCGAATTTATTTTTAAATGAGTTAGTGCTGGTACAGAACAGATCAATATCTGCTGGAAGTTCATTAAAAGCAGCGGATGCGCGGAGCAGAAACGAATTCAGTCTATAGTTAGTACGAGAAGCCGGTACATTCAACCGAACAGTGCGTCTCAATCGTGAGTGATTCATTCTAATCGAGACTTTAGACAATAGTTCGGGACTGTCAATGGTTCCATTAGCTATCTTCATCAAGTAGCAAATATCACCGACCCGGCGCCGCATCTCAAGCGGTAAGAAGTGGTAACGCTTACAACGGTGTTCATATCCATTGGATCTTTGCTTAGCCTTAAAATCTAAATATCTTAAAAAACGTTTTTGGACGCTCTCAATACGATTCTTGTAGAAATTGTATTGTGGGTTCCATATTTGGGAAGCATACTCAAGGTGACTACGCACATATGCACAATACAAGATTTTTATAACCTTAATGTTATTAAATACCGCCGAAGTTCTAATGATAAATCCCAGCATTTTAGTAGCTCGTTTGACGATATGATCAACGTGCCTGTCAAATAGCAATTGCCTATCATGAATGACACCAAGGTCCCTAATTTCTTCAACCCTATTAATTTTATTATTTCGAAGAATGTACCCTTTGTCAACAACCGATGATTTTCGAGTATAAGATACATAAAAACATTTTGACACATTCAGGTCCAGGTCATTGACTGTGCAATAAGTTTCAAATCTAAATAAGTCTTCCTGTAGATCTATGATATCATTTACATCACGTATTGCTTTTAATATTTTCATATCATCTGCAAACAGAAGTATTCTAGAACTAATAAAACATTTGTTGATATCATTTATGAAAATTGAAAAAAGTAAGGGTCCAAGAAGGGAACCCTGCGGCACTCCAGAAGGAATAGCTGTCCATGTAGATGTGTAACCACACAAGACTACAGCCTGCGTACGATTCAATATGTAGCTTCAATATTGAAATCTATTTAATGATTTATAAACACTTGATTAGGTATAAGTATAACTTACCGTTTCCTTACTAAACGCACTCATTTTGTAATTTTTCTACTTGTTTATGCTGTGGTTGAGATATTATCACTCACTGTTTTTTACAAACTCAAAGAAAATTTATTTAATGTACCGTCTGTCTACAGTGGTCCGTCTACAGTAGTTTGATAATGTGCAGCAGAATCAGATACACATAAGTTATATGGTACAACCTTTCCAAGCATTGAAGTATTTGCTTTTTGGCAGCTGTCAGGTGAATAAAAATTTTCTTTTGTCCTTTTCATGCCAATTTAGATTTCACGAAACACCAAACAAGCTTTCGTAACTATACTAGCAACCCGTCAGCGGTTTTACCCGCTGCAACTTATTTACCTGCGGAAAAAAGACAGTTTCCTGCGGGTAAAAGAAAAAAATTGGTCCTTCCATACAAATTTACTCTCTTGGCTATGACATTTGTTAATAATGTATTTCGACATAATATATTCCTTGGTAAAAATTGTTGAGCTTCATGGACTGGTTCACTCTTTAAAATATTTGTATATTTTTACACTCTGTATAAACCTTCCTCTTGAATCACTCTACCTACTAAAAACCGCATCAGAATCCGTTGCTTGTTTTAGGAGGAGTTAGCGGTGTCCATTATAGAAAAACGCAATAAGCGACTTTTGTATACTATGTAATATGTGTTGATGTTGATATGATACGATAAAACAACAGCTGAGCATACATTTTAATATACGGCCTTATTTTTTGCCTGCAAGAAAGACGATGAGGTCATTTGCTCTTTATAGAAATATAAATTGTTAACAAATAATAAAATAAAATTAAGTGTAAAAGCTTATATTTATAGAACTACAAGATGAGCATAATATCCTTAGTGTTTGTGAATTAATTTGTTGCACCTTAATCGATGCGTTATGCTTGGTGCATATTATTCTGTTAAAGATAAAAACAAAAATATTCATTTGCATTAACGGTAGGTAGGTATATTGTAAACAAGCAATAAGTATTAAAACGAAAAAGAAAACCTGACTTCGGTAATTTCAAAGATGTAATATGCAAAAAAAACCGCCGTCTTGAATTTATGATTTTTTTATTATAGCCAGTGTCACTTGCACTGCTAAGTAAGCTAATTTTACTAGTGAACGATAGCGAAATCTCGGAACCGACTGAAGTAAAAGGAACTATTTTCCCCAAGAAACATAGGTCGAAATACGAAAAAAAACTTTAAACCTCCCATGCAAAATTATCGATCAGCTGATTTGAGTTACTAGGGGAGAGCCAATTCTTTTCGTATTTCGACCTATGTTCCTTGGGAAAAGTTGTTCCTTATCACCAGCAGGTTCCGAGTTTTCACTATCGGTCACTAGTAAATTTTCACCCTATATATACAAGATCACTATCTATACAGGTGTGTATACAATTTTTGACAATCCATTTGGGTTCGTTGTCCTGACATTCTTAATGCGAATTTCACACCCAAAACTAAAGAATTACAATATCCGAATTAATTCAACGCTACATTTATTTTAGGAAAACTTGCAAACATTTTACCGCAGGCTGGATTTGAACCAGCGACCTTCGCCATCTGTACTTGCGACGCCTCTACCAACTCTGCTACAGCGGCTCACTCCAAGGAGCATTTGACCACTAACGCGTGGAAGGGCTCCATCTACCAGGATAGTTATACATCTAATTCCCAGCGACTAATCCATTCTCAGATTGAATGTAGCTAAAGCGATAAAAACCAGCGATAAATTGAATATCAAAAAGAACATAATTATGAATTTGTTCAAGTTCCTAAATCTTCCGTGGTGTCATTTGCCGTGCCGTGCCCGTGCCGTACCATCACAAAGTCGTATGGATCTGGCACATTATATTCACATTTTCACCTACTTCTGGAGTTCTCAAATAACACAGTTCTCGGTCTTGATGATTACCCTACTCCTTTTAGTTATCTTTACAGAAAGAAGATTGTGTGAAGGTGAATGCGGAGGGGTGTTTTGATCAATACCGAAGAACTGCGGCCAAAACCCAGAACAGCCATGTTGGTTTAGCAAGACAGTCGCAGATTAACTGTTTGTGATGCGGGAAAACACAGGATCCGAAGCGTAGTACAAAAAGGTAGACTTGTTCGCTACCCTAAATCAATCAAGAATTCCTTCATACCTTCAAAAAGAACTAAAAACTACTGATGTTATCTTGACAATCTTAATGCCAGTTTTACACCCAAAACTGCAGAATTACAATATTTAAATGTGAAATCCTACGATTAGCGTTCGTCCGAATTAATTCAACGCGACCTGTTCGTTTCGCGGGAATTTAAATTCAGTACGTGGGGCAGAGACGGCTAGACGGGGACAGAAACTTACGGGAGTAAGGAGAGTGCCGTGTGGTGCCGGCTTAGAATAGCATCACCCCATATCTTTCCCGTGAATGTCGTAAGAAGCGACTGAGGGATTTGAGAGTTGATGTGTATTGCAATTTTAGGAGACAGACTGAGAAGCTGTCACTGTGTCAATCTGTTACACCCCGTCTTCTGAATGACTCTCTTTACATGGCCGTTTTTATAGCTGATTTGAGTTAGGTATACTATGGGCGGCCTTTGTAATCACCAGCCGGTTCTGATTTTTTGCCATCAGCCACTACTAAAAATTCACCCTAAGTATGTTTTTACCGGAATTAATCAATTACCTACTGGCTCAGGAAATCTTTTTTGGTTCAGTACTTTATATCAACAGCCACAAGAGCCTACAGGTTCATCGGGTTGTTCGGCAACTCGATGTCCCACTTGAAAAGAAAAAAAGAAGTCTATTGCTAGTCTAGTCATTACTATTTGCCATTCTTCACTAAATTTGGCAGGTGAATTGGCAAGCGCAGTGCAAGATGTTGTATTATGGAATAGGGGAACGTTGTTTGTTTATCTCTTAGTCACACTGTACAGAAGCTGAAACCAATATACACAGTTTAAAAGGTTATTTACGTCGAATTCTAGGCCCAGTTCTAAATAGTTTGTTTTCAGAACATGAGGTTACAAGTTGCCGATGCAAACCGGTATTCCGGAATTATAATCCGGTACTTCAATTCCGGTTTTCAGAGTTTCAAAAATAATTAAATTATCGGGGTAATGAGTATTATAGTTACATTAAATTGTATAATTATCGCAGCCAATACTATGTTACTGCTCACGACCATCGAAAACTAACAAAATTAACAAAAGATTATTAAACTAATATGTCATACTCGTCTTTTTTAGCAGGCGGATTTGCAAGCGCAATGGAAATAGTTGGATTCAAAAGTGCTTGTGGCGCTACGGCCAAACAGATGTAATCAAATAATATCAAACATATGATACTGCCTGTGACCAATGTCAGCAAAATATTTAGTACCTTTCGGTCCAAGTTTCTAGTGCAGAATGCGTCAAAAAAACCGTAGAGCCGTGACTTTTATATTTTGTATTCCAATTTTACAATTTGAAATCTCTCTTTCTCTTTTCGTGTGGGACACCGAGTCGTTCAACGACCCGATGAACCCTGGTGTCAGAGTTTTTCAACCACCTACTGCAAGTAGCAGGCCTCTGACATGGTTGTGTAACGACAGCCATCATAGACAGCAACCGGGACCGACGCCTTAACGTGCCCCTCCGAAGCACGGAACCATCTTACTTGCGGATAATCAGGTGGTTCAGCCTGCAATGTTCTAACCAGACTAGAAACAAATTCACAAAGTGATAAATATCAACTTTGCGAGTGACCCCACCGGGAATTGAACCCGGAACCTTTGCGTGGCAGGCAGGCATACTACTGCGCCACATCGGCCTATTGGAGCTAATATGTGATACTCGTCTCGTTTAGCAGGCGGATTTGCGAGCGCAATGGAAATAGTTGTATTCACAAGTGCTTATTCTCCTAATCCATCCCTTGGTCGCTTTTTACGTTATCCACGAGGTGATGTAAAGTAAAACACACATTATATTAAACACTCTTTATACTATAGCTTATCAAAACCGGAACTTCCACCGGAAGTCTGGCGTCCAATACGGGAAACACAAAAACCGGTTTTAAGAACCTTCCTATTTTCTATGCCCTAGTCTGCAAGGAAACTACGATTTCCGCCAATCTCGCGGTTACTGATTGACTTTCGATGATATAGGGCACAAAAATTTAAACTCAGAAACCAGTTTTTAGGACTTTCCAGTTTCCCATGCTCCAGTTACGAACGGAACGACAATTTCAGCCAATCTCGCGGTTATTGATTGACTTGCGATGATATAGGCCACAAAAATTTAAACTCAAATACCGGTTTTTAGAACCCTCCGGTTGCCCATGCCATAGTTACGAACGGAACGCCGATTTCCGCCAATCCCGCGGTTGCTGATTGACGTGCGTTGATATAGGCGTCATATATATTTCATCATATCATATATGATGAAAAACTCTGACACCAGGGTTCATCGGGTCGTTGGACGACTTGGTGTCCCACTCGAAAATGAAAGAATAAAGGCCACAAAAATTTAAACTCAAAAACCGGTTTTTAGAACCCTCCGATTGCCCATGCCCCAGTTACGAACGACTTGGTGTCCCACTCGAAAATGAAAGAATAAAGGCCACAAAAATTTGAACTCAAAAACCGGTTTTTAGAACCTTCCAGTTTCCCATGCCCTAGTTGCGAACGGAACGACGATTTCCGCCAATCCCGCGGTTGCTGATTGACGTGCGACGATTTTGGTTCGCTACACTACCCCTAATTACATTAGCTGAAGCAGCCTTAATTATTTAAGTGCAAAGTTCTGTGACAGACTTGTTTTTGTACCGAATTGGATAAAACTAATTGGACGTGAAGTGTAGAGACTTGGCAATTTGCATAAAAGAAGTTGTCGTTAATCCTTTTGAAATGGCCAATTCATTTTTATTATACCTTCTTCGCCTATGAACGTACCTACTTAACTCAATATGTTTCAGTGGTAGATAAGATAGGTAATTGTTGATAATTCCGTTATTCTCCTGGATACGGTTTCTTGTCATAAGGAGTTTACAAAATTAATGTCAGAAAAAGAAGCATGCGGCTGTCACAGACTTTCATTAATTATGAGGCGTTTGTAACGATAACGAACGTCAACATCGTCCGCGTGAGCTGAGCAAATCACTCAAAAAATATACCTACCTACTTATCCTTCCTGGCTAAACTTACTCCTCTATAAAGCATAAAGTTTTTCGTACACGCCGATTCGTACCAATCTCGCCTTCGATTGTCAAAGACTCAGTAAGCTCCTTATTGGAATAAGAAGATTCTGCTACGAGATCCTCTTTGCGACAACCCTAAACTTTGTAGTCTTAAAAAATTTAAATCGCGGGTTTTGAGAGTACTTTTGTACGTGTTTTGGGGCGTAAGTAAACTACTTAAACGTTGTGGGGTAAGCAGTTAAAGTGCAGCTCTAAGTTTAAGGTTTTCAGTTTCTTATTCCTTTAACTTTTTATTTTATTTATGTTATAAAGTGTTTTTCATTCATTCACTCGAAGGACGGTTATGTTTTTTGTACCTCATATAAGTATATATGTAAATGGATGTGGGTGTGTAAGGTATGTAGGTATGTTTACGGGCTACATACAGTCGTAACGTAACGGTTTGATTGACGTTGACATATGAGGTGTCATTAGATTTGTCTCAGCGGCACGAGTAACAATGGCTATAGTAAAATTTCATAAATACAAAATGGCGTATTTTAATCGTAAAATTTACCTGTCAAATTACCGCAGTCGGTTTTTTATTAGTAAATCTTTTTATAAAACGCATCTGCGCGTTGTTTAACACGGTTGAAAATTAGTGTACATTTATTTTGAGAAATAATTAGTGACTCGTCTAAGGAATTGGGACACCCACCTTCTTCTTCTCATTAAACATCTGTTTCGTATAAAACATTAACATCATTAACTAACTTTACTTTAGCAAAGCAGTAGATAAGTAATAAGTAATGAAGTTACCAGAGTTAAAACTTTTAAGTGTATTTACTTAAATACAACATTGATCTATCTTTGTGCTTTTATTAGCATAACATTTAAAACATGAGTTAACTTACAAAAGTTGCTCTTAAATATGCAGAACGAGTTAGGTTACTTTGAATTTTATTTAAAGACTAATTATAGTAACAAACGTAAATTATTAAAAGGTTGAATTACACCAACTTTACCTATACTCACCACGATTGGCAGGCGGATTGGCGAGTGCAGTGCACAATGTTGCTATTACATGATGATGATGATGATGATTTTCCTTTCGTCGTTCTTTACGACACCCACTGGCAGAATTGGGGTGATGCTATTCTAAGCTGGCATCACACGACAAAAGCAAATCAATGATAAAATTAGTTGTTAATTAACTGCAAATGAAAATTTTTCCAGGTATTTTTAAAAAGAAGTATTAAAACTTTACGAAGAAAAACGAAGATCTGTCTAAAACCAATCTAGTATTAAATTGTCGATTAAAAGTTTAGAAAAAGTACATAATACTTGTTATATTCTTTACTTACAACAAAGTGTCGGTAATATAAGTTTTTCAATTTGTCACAAACACTGAAATTTTAAGAAAAGATTTTAAGCTGAATTCCAGTAAATGAGGAGAAAAACTGAG